AGTCACTTTAACTCAATTACGTTTCTAAAAGATGTTTCTTAGTATAATACAATTATTTGTGCACGAAAATGTAAGTCAGGATGGCCGAGCGGTCTAAGGCGCTGCGTTCAGGTCGCAGTCCACTCTTGTGGGCGTGGGTTCAAATCCCACTTCTGACAATAATTTTTTAAAATTGGTTTTATGAAAAAAAAAGACATGTTTGCCTTAATTTGAAAAGGCTGTATACATTTTCAACTATTGTGTCTGGTTAAGCTTTGGGGGAGGAATAGTTTGCGATCCATTGCTTGATGGTAAGAACAGACGCAAACATAACACGTCTGCACGCCCACATGGGAATGCATGTTTACGTGTCTCTGCACACACACACACATTTATATTTATATACACATACACTCAGTGAGCCGCCGTGATGTAGCGGCCCATTGCCTTTGATTATCATTAAAAAGTTGCTAAATCTTTTATATTTGTTTACCGCTGTCTCAATATGTTTGCCCCAATTCAGCTGTTCGTCTAGAATCATTCTTAGATACCAGTGCTGGCTACTCTTTGGATTGGTCTTCCGTAGATTCTAGTTGTAACAGTATCACTATCATAGTAGCGTTGTCTTTCGTAGTTAAATACCATGTTTACTGTTTTGCTGGTATTTATTTTATAACCCCATTTAATTATCCAATAGTAACAATAATAACTTCGTTGTGTAGTAAGTTTCTTGCCCTCTTCACTGACGTATCGCTTGTAAATATCGAACAATCATCCGCAAACTGTGTCAGGCTTACTCTTGGATCTTTAATTACCTTGTTAAGATCATTAACCGTGATTCAGAATATTGTTGGCGATAACATCGCACCTTGGGGAATCCGTTTTCCTGTGCATAAATACTTGATTTCTCATTGTTAACGATCACAGAGAATGTATTGTCCTCCAAGAAGCTCTTAATGTACCTGTATACTCGTCGACGTGATTCTAATATTATGTCTCCAACTTCATACAGGATGGCTTGTCGCCAGCTCTGGTCATAAGCTTGAGCTGAGTCTAAAAATACTGCTGTAGTTTCATTTCCTATTTCGAATCCTCTGTTCACTTGGTTCTCTAGTACTCCCACCCCACCCCCCCCCCCCCCCCCCCCATTTTTTCCCAACTTGCCCAATGCACAAGAGTTCAGGTTCAAGCTACTCTAACGCACAAGAGTTCGGTTCCCTTCTATAGGGACCTGCTTCTCTTGGAGCGCCAGTACCATCTATTCTATGTCATACTATATAGAGAACACTCATTCACAATCACATCATCACATCTTCATAGTATCCCCATTTGCCATTCACACATTTAAGGAATTAAAACTATCTAAGACCCTGTCATCTAACAAAGTCTAGAGATATAATTATAAGTGTATATTCTGTTCTCGAGCTTATTCCTAGATTTCGCGGCGGCCGGGTGACGAACTCCTTGTGGTCCGGGTTCACTCCCGGGGGTAGGCAGAAAAGCCACATTTCTCCCAGATTAACGGTACCTATAATGGAATCAAGGCCGAAGGGTTGCGATATCCATAGTACCGAGCCAAAGGGTTTACAACTCATGGTTTCTGGATACGTTAAAAAAAAAAAAAAAATAAAAAAAAAAAAATAAAATAAAAATGGACAGTTGTGAGTAGCGACCAGACTATCTCAGGGAAAACGTGACCTATGGCCACACGATGACGAGTTACTTGACATACATAAAGAAGCATGGGGCCGCTATAATTGTGGGGCCCTCGGGCAAGTTTTTAAGCTGATCCACGCCTTTAGGCAGCACTGAATAGACAGACCCACTGCGCTCCCAGATAAATATGTCGGTCGTATTAGGCAAATAATTGGGGCCGTTTCTTTCAAAGTCGGAGTTTAATCTGCTGCCTGTTATTGTGGGCACATACTACAGTACTGCCCTTATCTCTCCCAGCAAAGACTGTGGATCTGGCACAAGGGAGCCACATTGCAAGAGAAGCTATGGGCATGGGCGCCCGCAGAAAATTTTATGGGGAGGGGGCAAAAATATTTTTAGTAATGTTTTAATGTAGTTTTAATTTATTGTAGCGTATTTGTATGGTGAACGAACGGACAAGACACTGTAGTAATGAAGGGCATACTGTAGCAACAAATGTTTTTTTTACACTATATATATATATATATATATATATATATATATATATATATATATATATATATATATATATATATATATAAACAAAAAATATTACAACATAAATTTAAAATAAAATTTATTCTTTAAACAAGAACTAGAGTCGTATGTTATCGCTACCAAGCATATCTACAATTTTGTCCATAAAGTCTTTTTTGTTGCAGTTCACTGTCTCTGTGTACGCTTAACATGCACAATCCAGACAGGCGTTCGTCTGACATCGTAGATCTAGCCATGTTTTTTCACGACGTAATGTGCTGAACGAACGCTCCAACGTAAATCTTGTTGCTGGTAATGTTAGAAAAACTAGTAAGGCATACCTGACACTCGGATAAAACTTTGTAAAAGGTAACAAGTCGATGAAATCTTGGCTACTTTTGTATTCTCGCGTTTTCCAAAAATCAAACCAACTCAAGGCTTCAGTTTTAAAATTATCAATGTGATATACCTGATTAATAGTAGACATTATATCCTTAAACTGTTGACGATTCAGTTTGCACAATTTCGAAGGATGTAGCAACGCTAAGTTAAATTGTGCACTGTTGGCTTCACAAAATCGACTCTCCATTGAATTAATTAGATTTGATTTGATTGTTTTGATTTGATTCAAGAACCGACATCATAGCACTCGGGACATTCCCATAAGCGCTCAGTCCCCATCTTCAGCAGCCAACGAAGAGTTCCGATACTAATGGTTGAATTAATTAGAGAATATAAGTATGGAATTTAAACTGTTTTGTCTGAAGTACTCTTCAACACTTATGGTTCCCGGATTACTTCGATGCTTTTGTCTTCCACACTGTCTTGGGATAATCAGTTCAATATCCGCTTTCTCTGCGAGTTGTACTGTTTTCTCAAAAATATCCCTGAAATAGTTATCGGAATCACCTCGGTGAAATTTTACTACACTGAGCAGGTTTTGAACTTTCAGATGGACTTCTGGAAGATCAACTTGAACAGCTTGAAGAGCCTGAGTAACTGGTTCCAGTATGGCAGAGTACTGCGAAATAATATTGAGACAAAATAAAAACGTGCTGGACTTTGATGAACAATATAACTGATGTGCAGAATGTAGTGTATTTCCACTTGCGTGCAATGAAAATTCTTCCAGTTGACAATAAATATCTTCAAATTTACTAGAAAAAATCCGAATACTTTTATACTTGCTTGTCTCACACAGAAGAATAATATTTGGGACAGAGGACCTCCTTTTAGGGCTTTCACGAAAAAATGTAATAATTGCTTTGATAGTACCAATAGTATTTCGTATCACTGCAACATTATTAAGATCATTTACTACGAGATTCAGTCTATGCGAGGCACAGTGAATAAAGGCAGCCTTGGGGTAAATACTTCGAGTTTTTGCCTATACATTTTCTTTTCCGGCCATTGTCGAGCTCCCATCATAACCTTGACCCAGCAGATTATTAAGGAGAAGACCAAATGTTTTGCAAAATTGAATAATACAATCAGATATCGTGGCGGCGTCCTTACCTTTCAGCGGAGAAAATCCAAGGAATTCCTCAAGAATCATAGCCTTCTCACTAGACGTATCTACAAACCGGACTCCCAGTGATAACTGTTCTGTTCCTAAGATATCTGCTGTTTCATCGGCTATGATCGAGAATCCAACAGCATTGTTAGCAGCTTTTACAATGTCTTCTCCCAGAGCTTGTTCAGACAAATTGATCAAACCATTCTGCGTTCGGTGTGATGTGTAACGTGCATTTCCAGCAGCTGTATCAAAATGTTTTTTTTTTTTTAAATACTGTCTCCTCCCTCAATTTGATACGAATACAGTTGTTCGACATTTCCTTTGGTGCTATCTTTCCTACGAATTGCCAAATCATTTGTTCCGCAAAATAAGATTGTTGAAATAATAGGAAACAGTTTCTTTCAGTTTTCTCAAATAGTTCGTTTTACAGAATTATCTATTTGACAAAAAATATCCTTATTTGGATGTCTAATGGTTGCGGTTTCAAGGTTGACATTAAGGAGAGCATTTAATATAGTTAATGTATGGTAAGGTTTAGTAATACTCACGGCTCGATTCACAAGTTTATTTATATAGAGGTCACAGGAATATTTGCTTAGGTAAATACAATACGACGCGCGGAGTTTACAGGACGCGGCACTTGCTTCAGAAGGCAGGGAAAGAATCCCTATTTTCAATCAATCCGGGGGGGGGGGGGGGAGGCGAGTGCCCCCCTCCCCCTGCGGGCGCCCATGGCTAAGGGAAGACCGGTGGTGACCTTAAACGCACAATCCTATTTGTGACCCATTAATCAAGTAACAGAAAGTGTATTGATGGGCACTCATAAAAAGAAGTAGAAAGATAGAAGAACACAATAGACAACATAAAAATCGAAAGCTATAGTTACCGTGCCGGGAATTGAACCTGTCACCTCCAGACGGCGTCTGCGCCTCGCCATGTATATTTGTGACCCAGACGGGACTCAATGTTTAGCATGACTGATGTCGAACGCAGAAGAAGAAGAAGAAGAAGAAGAAGAAGAAGAAGAAGAAGAAGAAGAAGAAGAAGAAGAAGAAGAAGAAAGTCGGAGTGCATCTGCCTGCGAAGCGAGGAATCAACAGCCTGCATACAAATAGCCCCATCTATAAAATGAATGGGGGCGCACAATTCAAGTCTGGATCAAGACCAAAGTCGAGAAGTGGACAAACCACTAGAACAATATGCCAGATTTTGCAGCCGGTGAGTGCAAAGAAGTTCAGTAGTCGACAACCTTAACCGTTTTAATGTTTTGACCGATTCTATAATCGAATAAACACGACGGTATCGATGTCAGTTGACCCTTGACCACGGAGACATGGCAGCAGACGGGAACATTAGACGAAACGGTGCTTCTGGTCGAAATGCCAGAAACTTTGATCCCAACTATTTCAGATTGCCAACTCCCTTTTGGATGGTAACAATATTATCTGGACTCTGTCTTCTTGCAGTAAGTTGATTTTATTTTAGTAAATTCCTGGTAGTTTGACAGACATAGCGTTGCACACTATTTTTTTTAAATTTTTTATTTAAACTTGCAATAACGGTCGCTTCTTGGACGGTGACTGCCGCTTAGTCGGAGTTGAGTCCCCTGGCTGCAGTGCAATTACGGAGTGGACAAGGCACGAATCACAAAACAAAGATATAGCGGCCGTCATTATGGGTAAGTACTCGACGTTACATGTGTTACCCTAACCCTACCCCTAGCCCTAATTATGTCATTTGCAGTTTCGTTCCCTCTGTTCCACTCCGTAATTGCACTGCAGCCAGGGGACTGAACTCTGACGAAGCGGCCGTCGCCGTCCAACTAGCGACCGTTATTGCAAGGAGAGCCGAGTTATGAGTTAGCTTCGCAAAGAGGACATCGCCCCAAAATCTTAAAGTTTAAACGATGCCCCCTGCCCCAAAGTAATCCAGATACAAGACAGCAGAGCCTAGGGTTTTGAGAATAATGTTGACACAAATACAGAATACAAATAAGTTTGTGGAAGCGCGCCAGACTTATCAGCAGGCGCTGCACATGTTTCGTTATTAACCCTTTTACGCAGGTAACTTAGTAAAAGAATTTTAAAAATTGGCCATGAACAGTGGGAATTCTCGAAAGAAATCCAAGAAATCCAATTTTCGATCTTTCTTAACTCTCTCATGACCACATTTTTTTTTCTGGGGTTTGGAAAACATTAATTTCTAGCTGAAATTTTTAAATGCAAAATGACAAAGCTAAAACCTTCCTGATGAAAAAGTATTCGCTGTATAGAGACATAATATTATAGCAAATTCAAAAGAAATGAAAGCAGAATAAATTTAAAGTATTTAAATATCAGTATCACAACAAAATATTATTACAATCACACAACATTCAAGGATGTTAGACACATATGAAGATTGTTAAAAAAAAAATGTTGTGCTTACCTTTCTTTTTAACCTGTTCTGCAACACTGCTGTCAAATTCTAAGGATTCACATGCCTTCTCTGTTCAGTTATGTATCAGCTAGTTTTTCTTTGAAACAATTAATTTAAATACTTTGGATGTTATGGCCATTTTTGTCTGACATGTCAGGTTTCACAAGAAACAAGTATCTGTATGGGTTCCGGCTCCCTATTATGGGGGGGGGGGGGGGGGAACAGAATAGACCCACTGCCTACCCAAAAACATGACGTAAGAGTCAACTAATTGGCAGCTTCCTTCGAAGTCAGTGTGCATCTGCCTGAGAGGCAAAGAACTAGCAGTCTGCATACAAATGAGTCAGATCTGTAAAACGGATGCACACACAACACTCAGGTTCTGGAACAGGACTGCAGTCTTAACGTGGATGAACAACCAGAAATTTCCATCAGAGTTTACAGCTGGTGAATGCGAAGAAGAAAGAAGACAAGAAACAAAATCTGGAAGACAGCTGATTGAAACAGAGATGATCTGACAAATATTTTCTTCAATGCTGTCCTAACCTATATTATCGCAAATAGGTTTGTCACTTGCATTATCAGTCATAATATCCAGACGGACATGATACCAACTACACTAGACTATCTAGGAAAGCAGCGACCAAAAATAAGACCAGTATTATAGTATGTGATAAACTGACACATGCTTCGTCTGTTGTTTAGTATCAACCAATCCTCATCGCGCCCAGAGGCACATACAGCAGAGTTTTATAATATAGAAAGTAATAATTTTAAATAACCTCTCCTTTACAAAAAGGAAACACTAGAAACTTACAAATCAAACACAAAGAACTACAGTAACCAATTATATAGTTTTTAATACTGCTAATAATATTTTTGTGTATGAAATATTTCAAAGCAAGGTATAATACACAGTGCCACATCACAGTCCTTGCACATGTATCTGGTTTCGCGTCGCTTTTTGCTTTTTGCACATATGACACACTTTCTTGCTGGGCCCTTCTTCTGTGGTGTTTTGGACTCTATTGTTGAAAGGAAATGTCTTTGCACCAACCGTAGTGGCAGATCTTCACTCCTTCGTCCTCCTACACTCTTTCTCTGTTCTTTACAACATTTTCCTAGAATTTCTCTACTTAGAGTTAGGTGAAAATCTACAACAGGAATGTTTTTCCCCACAACAATTTTATATAAGCAATGCCCATTTAAAATCGAGAGATCTAACATGTTTGGCATAGACTCAATTGTCAATAACGTCCAAAGTAATCCACAACACACTTTGGCTTCACAATATTTAGCAGCGTACGGGAAATCGGGAAAAGACATCCATAGCAGCGAAATGGTTAATGACCCTAGAACATCTAGAACTGACCCTAACCCCAACCCAACCCCAATCCAATGAGAGAGTGCAGCCAAGGTCCCACGACTGTATGCAACCTATAATATACGCGATGTACATGTTGTACTTTAAGTCCGACGAGAAGACTATAATTACCAGTATTACAAACCGATGCACTGAATCTAACTTGTCAAATTGTTCTGATTGTCAGTTCATGAACCCAGCAGTATACATCTAGAATGATTGGCCCTTTTTTAGGGCCACTCCCAAAGTATCCCAATTGGCAAGACATCCTGCCAATAGCACTTAGAGTTTTACGCAAATTGCAAAACAGCATCCTCCTCCCCAGCAAAACCGTGCAAAAAACAAAAAACAAATGCATACTCAAAAAAAAAAATTATAACATTTTACACAGGTCACTGATAAATTATAAAAACAATAAATACATATTTTTATACATTTTGTATTTCCCCGAAAAATAGGGCATTTTTAAAAATATAATCTCTTTACCTTGAACAACAAGCAGCAATTAGAGTAGCTGAGGAAAGATTCGACTGGTTTGAGGTGCTAGAAGCAGTTAGACAGGGCTGCATTCTCTCTCCTTCATGTTTATAAATATTGAATGCTGAAAATTTGAGAAATGCAAATAATGATGAGACATGTGACACAGCTCCGATGCGCTCACACTTGGAGACATACCTGTGCCAGAACTCGGATATGCAGATGACACAGTTCTCCTTTCCAACAGTGTACTGAGCTTAGAAGAAATTAATTCTGATAGCCGAAAAGCACATTGAAGAAGAAAATCTTTTTTTAATTCTAAATTTGAAAAAAAAAAAAAAATCAATGACAACAATAAAAAATAGCAATCCAGCGATTTTTTGAAATTGATAACGAAGAAATATAAAATGTCACAGATTTTAAATATTTAGGATCAGTAGTGAACAACAATGGTGACGGCATAGAAGAAGTCAGAAAAAGACATTGCTGTGTCAATGAAAAGACTAAACAGTATGATGACCGTGTGGAACAGCACATGCAGGCGAGTGAAAGTAAAAACTTTGTGAGGTAATTCATCTTTCTCATGGCAACTTATGAATGTAAGTCACAGACTCTTACCCAATCAGTAAAGAAAACAAATGGAGCTTTGAACTGAAATGGTACAGAAAAATTCTCAGAATACCAAGGATCAAGAAGAAGAAAAATACTGACATTCTACAAGATCTGAGCATAGAGGAGAATTGACTCATAAACAGCATCTTGTTCCAGAGTTATTTTGGTCATGTTAAACATAATGATGATCTGGAGATAATGGGGATGGAAGGTCCAGTTTCTGGAAAACGTTACAGAGCCAGACCTTTGCGATGGTGCATGCAGGACATTGAAGATGCATTGGCTATGAAAGCACACGAGGCTGGAGAATCGCTAGAGAAAGAATCTTTCAGGCGTGCCGTCACAAGAGCGATGTTCTGTAAAGGATATGCCGATTGATGGTGAATCAGTAACATAAACAGAGAGAAGCATTCAATGAAATAGATTTCCAAGGACCTAACATATCTGTGTGTTGGCTAATTCAAGCCTTGATTTAGTGACCTCTGTCACTAAGGCTTATAGGAAAATTTGACAGCAACGGCTTTAAAAAAAATCATTTTATTTGAAGATAAACATATGCAGACTCAGCCAAGAGCATTAACTATGCGTCTTGTAAACAGGTCTCTATGGACAAGTGAGAAAAGTTACATGTTTGGAAAATGGACAGAATGAAATGAGGATAAAGTGGTAGATCAAGGAAATCGGTGATCTGCTTACTAATTGCAAACGTGTGTGTGTGTGTGCATGTGTGCGCGTGCGTGCGTTCTGCAACCGCCAGAATATTTGTTTTCTTCATTCATTTGGTTAACAAATATAGAAATTGATGCTTATATGTATCCTTTTCTTTGTAGGAAAAGAAAGACTGCTTGAAACATTTCAACAATTAGCTAAGAAAGTTTGAAATCTAATTTCTGTGTTATCTTATGCTGATTTTGGTAAACAGGATGCTGACTGCAGAAAAGATTATAAAGGTGAAAAAGATAATTAAACATACAGTGGAACCTCGCTTAACGAACATAATTCGTTCCAGAATCACACTCGTTAAGCGAAACACTCGTTATGCGAAACCATTTTTCTCATATAAATTGATGTAAAATACGATAATGCCTTCCATGTCGAAAAAGATACTCACAAAATGCTATGTATAACGTTTTTTCAAAGAAAATTATATACATATTGTTAAGTAGAGTGGATCATCTTCATCTTTTCTTCAAACGCATAACGAACCCACAAGGAATGCGAATTCGATTTGCAGAAAAAAAAAGTCGAAATAATTATGATACATAGCTAATAATTTTTTTTTTATTTTTTTTACTAGAAAGATGTCCAGAGATTTGTTTTTGCCGACACTTCAAAATTTAGCGAAAATGTGACACAGCATTATCATTAAATAAATTTGCAATGCACATAGCCACTTCCTTATTAGGGCGATGCTTCTCAATGTAAGATGCAACAGTTTGCCATGCTTTCAGCATTTCTTTTATTTCACCAGAAAATTGTTGCTTTTCTGTTACCTCCTCCTCCTCTTCTGACAAACTTTCCTTCAAAACGCAGCTCTAGGCTGTGCTCTTCCACAAGCTCTTTGATATCACTGTTATCCACCTACAATCCCATGATAGTGGCCAAAGACACAATCTCGTTGTCTACAGGTTTCACAGGTACTGTCTCAAACCACTCAAAGTCACAAATAGATAATGCTCTCCTGCCAAAGCTTCTTCCAAGCAGAAGTTAGGATTCTCTTGATAACCCCTTCTCCCGCCTTGTCGATCATCTTGAGGCAAGCAACAATGTGGGAGTGATTTTTTTCTCCAAAACTCTTTGAGAGTGGGGTTGGTCCCTTCAGTCACCTGAAAACAATGCTCGAAGAGTGCTGGTCCATGGTCTGGAGTAACGGAGTGGTGTTAGGAGGCAGAAACTGGATCTTGATGAACTTAAATTCTTCAGAGAGGTCATCTTGTAGGCCTGGAGGATTCATGTACATATATCACAATATAACACAAGTTTGAGAAAATGTGTGATTACAAGCAACACTACGATGCTACTGGAACAAGTGCTAAACACTGATGTAACATGCGCACAATCCGGGACTTCCCCTCTCCTTGCCACTCGTTATGCGAAATGTCGCTCGTTAAGCAAGTCATTTTTTTACAATTTGTTTTGCTCGTTATGCGAATTACTCGTTATGCGAGGTGCTACTGTATTAACAACAGTGGTGTTGATGTCCATACAAGCATGAAGGGAAATGTTGGACCAAGAAATATTATCTTCCTCTTTCTTCCTCCTCCTGCTTCTTCTTCTTCTTCCTTCTCCGCCTCTTCCTCCTCCTCCTCCTCCTCTTCATTCTCCTCCTTCTCCTTTTTTTTTTATTCCTTCACCATCTTTTCTAGGAACTTACCAGTGTCTATTACAGTAGCACTGGAAAAAAAAATGCTTTTAACAAATTGCCGGTACTGTATGCTGGTTGCATACTGCTAGAAAAAATCCTGGGGATCAACAAGATAACTGTGGAAAAAATGCTGCTGGTGAAGACATTGATGTTAACAATGTTGAATGTAAAAAATGATGATTGTGGCCACAAACAAAAGATAATATGGTAAAGACTATTATAGAATTATAATTATTTGTTTTATTATATTTAGAATGGACGCTGATTTAAAAAATAATTAAAATAAAATTATGTTTGTTGACTTTTTAATAATTGGATGCATGTAGTCAGTGGCAGCTTGAGGACAGGCACTTTGGAACTGCAGCTTCTTATCTCTGACATGTGTGCATTCGCTCAGCAGGTTGACCAGACTATTCATCTGTTTTACACATCCACATAAGAAGCTGCAGTTCTGCAGTGCCTATTCATGAGCCACTACTGCATGTAAATAAAGAAGCAGTAATGAAATGGCTAAAACATTCCTAAAACAAACCTTTGTTTTCTAGACTAGCCAGTTTTCAAGGACATAAGAGTGTCTCAAAAACCAGGTCACTAACTTATCTGTGTGAATGCATCATAGATAATATCAGAAAGCAACATGGGAACCCCTGAGCATAGATTTAGATAGACAGATAGCTTGGGGTTGCAGAGTGCTAAAGTCAGGGTTTGTTTGACCCCCCCCCCCCCACCCTACTAAGGTAGGCTTTCAATGTATAAACAAACAACCATTCAGACACATGTATCAGAATGTTGTAATTTTAGAGTTTGTTTTTTTAACTAAAAAGAAAATAAACAACATGAAAGCCAAGAGTTTCATTAATTTGTCAGATGTATGCTTTTCTGTGAGCTGTTATTGTTTGTGTGTGAATATATTGCATAGAAAACAGTTATATAAAAGTAAATGAGTCTTTGCATGTTGGGCATTTCCATGCCCGACTCAGTCCTGCGATGCAGCAGCCACTCCAAGGTACCTGTACTGATTGTTTCCATAAGAAGTTGGTTATATTATTTTCTATCTTTACCTCGAAGATGACATAGATATGCTTCACCTAGTTTATCTCATCTGTCACACAAACGTGTAAGTGTCAGAGATTAAGCATGTCCCCCAACCTGGTATATATAGCATTGATGATATCAGCTCTGTCCATATGTGGCAAAACAATTTTGTTCAAAAAAAAAAAAACTTTCAAGGTTTTTTTTAAATGTGAGAACTTAGTGGTCATAACTGGGGCCATAAGGCAGGATAAAATGATATATCTCCATTAACAGACACACACAGATTGACATGAGTTGAACAAATGATTATGTTTCAGCTAAGAAACTACATGAATTGAACAAATGATTATGATTCCACTAAGAAACTGGAAACTTCCAGACCACCTTTATAAAAAAAATGAAAAAACGGTGATGTTTGCCTTAAAATCATAAAGTGTACAGAGTAAGATTTATATTTCACCTCCTACTAGATAAAATCTTTTTGCTTCATCAAGAATTAGAGCTGTAGGTCTCCTAATTGAGAGACAGAAATCCTAATTACTTGGCCACTCGCTCATCCAGTATACTGTCCCAAATCTGCCAGTAAAATCCATACCCGTCTGAAAAGGTAGAACTCCTGAAGATATGCAACTGACGGGGTATTTGTTGGGTTCATAGGAATCAAGCAAGAGGGGTGATTGTAATTGAACCATCTTGTTCTTAGCCTCCAGGACCATCTCCAGATCATTGGGCAATCTTCATAACTTCTGCACTTTCTGGCCACATCTGGCAGCACAAATCTCTGAAGGGGAAGGGGGGGGGGGCATTTGTCGGAAAGGTTGAGGGTTTTGAATTTAAGATCCACATGAATATTTGTATAGGAGCCTATAAGATGTTTGGTATAGATAGATGGCCAAGAACCCTTCAGTTGTCAGTCACTCTGGAGCCATAGATCTATGTAAGTTGGGGACTTTTGAAAGATGGCTTCAGGATTCTAAATTTCATTTCCGCACAGTTTCTCTGAGTGAAAGATTATGAGATCGTATAGATGGCCAAGAGATCTGCAGTCTTTTGGCAAGAAGCTAGTTGCTTTTGTTACGTGACACATGTCGCCTCAACACAGTACTGACCTTTTCTCAGGCTTCAACACATTATTGTCCTTCCTCAGGCAGCAACACTGTCACCAGAAAGTATTCCAACATATTTAGGACCAGTTCGTACATTTGGTGTGTATATGGGAACAAGTCATCCAAATGTGTGTGTGTTTATGTAAGTATGATTTTTTTTTAAACAGTTTGAGTAAATCTTCAAAGTTTATAATGTTTAAAGGTTAAAGGTTAAAGGATTGACTTAATTGCACCGGGTTTTATCCCATATGGCTCAGTCTCTCTCCTCAGATGTCTAGAGAATTGGCTTCATTGGACTGGGTTTTATCCCATATGGCTCAGCCTGAGAGGCAGGAACTAACAGTCAGCATACAGATAAGTCAGATCTGTAAAACAGATGTGCACGTAACACTCAGGTTTTGGAGCAAGTCTAAAGTCCAGAGGTGAGTGAACAACCAAAACTTTCTGCCATAGTTTACAGCTTGTGAACATGAAGAAGAAGAGATCCTAGAAAGTAAAGGTTACTGGTGTGATGTTGGCCACATCAGCCACCAAATACCAATAAGACAATTAAAATATGAGTTTAGCATCATATACCCAAATCGCCAGTGGCATAAAAAGTGTGCTTTACTTTGCTATTGTTTTTAAAATATCATGATGTACATTGAAACCAATAAACACATGGTGAGTTATTTGGTATTGAATAAGTTAAACTCTCAATGAATGAACTGTTGCTTAATTGACAGCTTGCTGCCGAGCGTGTGTGTGTGTGTGTGTGCATGCGTGTGTGTGTGCGTGTATATATATATATATATACAACCTGCGTGATGCTGACCACATCACCCATCTTGTGCCGATTGGTCAAAAAAATATAGGTCTAGCCCTATATGCCCTATTCGCCTAATGGCATGAAAAAGGGTCCTTCACTTTACTTTTACTATATATATATAGCAAATTTGGCATTTAGAAAGAGTTGTGGTTCATTATTATCCAGTCAGTCTCCAGTAATTTCACATGTCTCTAATTTTTGTTTTGTTTTGAACTCACAGAAGTATAGGGACAGTGATCATTCATATCTTGGAGGCAGCATATGCAGGAAAAGTTTGCCTGTAAGTTTGAGAGCCTTAATGGGGCTTCTTTAGTTTACTTTGGTCTGTAGTGGAAGTTACTGTGCAGCTCATACTATCTTTTTTCTTTCCTGTGATGAGACAAAGCAATAATTGAAAAAAAAAAATAATCAAAACACCACATAGATTTACTAGTAAAGGGATACAAGATCTCGCACAAGAACAGTACCTCACCGTGGACAAATAGACCAGCGGTTATAAAACTGGGTGTATTTGCCATGGGTGCTGCGGCAGTAATCAAGAAAAGTAGTCTAGAAGTTTTAAAATTATTAAAGAAAGCATGCAGATACTTAATAGCTAGAATTTAAGTTGTCTTCCCTTGCCACAGTTGAAAACATGCTTTTGTTTGTTTTTGTTTCACACTCAGACATGTTTCATATTACATACATTGCTAACTGCAACCTGCTAAGAATTGTCCTTGTATATATCTAGAGGTGCGACCGTTCCTCTACCTGCATTCGTTAAGGTGCACTTGATAGGCAAATTTGTGGTGAAATTTTGAGTGAAATTTTAAGCTGGAAAATAGTGTCTGCACAGTAGTAACTGTTTGCCTGATAATGTCAGTGCTTATATTTATAGGTAATGTGTTCTTTTGTTGCTGATTGTGTGTGTGTTGTGTAATAGAGAGAGAAAGAAAACGAACAAACTTTATTTTCATACATACACATAACACTCTGGGTTAAATGGAGGAACGTTGCTGTTGCTGCGGAGTTTCGTGCGGACAGCGACACAGGCGGACAGTTTCTTATCAGCTTTCCATACTGGTGGCAGTGTACTTATGGTTTATAACCGTGTGCAGTAACGCTGGTTCACATCTCCCCACTTTACCTTTGCTTGCTTGTGATTCTTTTACCAGACTGAATCTTATCCAAAATATAGAATGCTTATTCATTATTTTAGCAAATGCTTTTGATTTCTAAATGTTTTATTTGTATGTATTTGTGTGTGTTTACATTTGCAGTAGAAGAAAAATGACTACATCTGCAACAATCAAGTGGATACTGTCCACATTTGTGTTTGGTTTCTCTTCCCTGACATTACGACTGCTTCCATACAAGCCTGATGCAAAGGAAAAATGAAACCATCACCATTAGGGTATCATGATTTGAAACTTGTTGTAAATTGTGTTTGTACCACCCAGCTCACTTGACATTTGCTCCATACTTGTAACATGATTTTTCCCTCTTCAGCCCCCATCCAGTCGTTACAGGAGCCTTCTCGATTCCAAATGCTGCTTTAATTTCTCAAGTCATTTCTAGTTATAGCAGTTGTTTTTTTAACAGCAGGTACACCTTCCTAGGTGGTTGGGGGGTGGGAGCAAGGAAGTCTCAAGGGGACATCGAGCAGTTTGGAAATTGAGTGCAGTTTTACTTGTAATAATCTGTTATCCTAACATTTGTTTTCAAGTTTCATCAGTTATCATAATCATCATCATCATCACGTTTCATCTGTAGGCATATTTTTGTTTTGTTTTCGCCAACTTACAGAAGTATCGGGACAGTGATCATTCATTTTTTTGGGGGGGGAGGCAGCATATGCAGGGAAAGTTTTCTGTAAGTTTGAGAGCCTTAATTTCTTAGTTTACTTTAGTCTGTAGTGGAAGTTACTGTGCAGCTCATAGCTCTATTTGTTTCTTCCTGTGATGAACAAAGCAATAATTAATAAAAAAAATGGATTTAAACACAACATAGATTTTACTAGTAAAGGGATACAAGATCTCGCACAAGAACAGTACCTCACCGTGGACAAATAGGGGGGCGGTTTATAAAACTGGGCAAGCTATTTGCCATGGGTGCTGCGGCAGTAATCAAGAAAAGTAATCTAGAAATTTTACAGTTATTAAAGAAAGCATGCAGATACTTAAAAGCTGTCCTTTAAGTTGTCTTCCCTTGCCACAGTTGGTGACCATGTTTTTGTTTGTTTTTGTTTCACACACTCAACAGTTTGTATTACATGAAATTGCTAACCGCAACCTGCTAAGAATTGTCTTTGTATTTATCTAGAGGTGCGACTAATCCTCTCTACCTGCATTTGTTAAGGTGCATTCGATAAGCAAATTTGTTTTTAAATTTTGAGTGAAATTTAAGATGGAAAATAGTGTCTGCACAGTAGTAACTGTTTGCCTGATCAAGTCTTTTTACTTATTATTTATAGGTAAGGTGTTCTTTTGTTGCTGATTGTGTGGATTATCAATAGAGAGAGAAAGAAAACGCAAACTTTATTCGCATTATCATTTTACACATAACACTCTGGGTTAAATGAAGAATATTTGATTTATAGCTACGGAGTTTCGTGCGGAGCCGGACACAGGCGGACAGTTTCTTATCATCAGTCCATACTGGTGGCAGTGAACTTATGTTTTTATAAGGGGTGCAATGAATGGTTCACATCTTCCCCACTTTACCTTTGCTTGCTTGTGATTCTTTAACCAGTCTGAATCCTATCCTAAATATAGCATGCTTACATTCATTAAGAGCAAATTGCTTTTGATTTCACACACCGTTTCCTTTTATGTATTTATGTGTTTACTTTGCCTCTAGAAGAAAACTGAAACATCTGCATAGTCAAGTGGATACTGTCCACATTTGTGTTTGGTTTCTCTTCCCTGTAACAAATGCTTCCATACAAGGGATGCCAAGGAAAAATGAAACCATCACCATTAGGGTATCATGATTTGAAACTTGTAAATTGTTTTTGTACCACCCAGCTCACTTGACATTTGCTCCATACTTGTAACATGATTTTTCAGTTTGATGCTTTTCTCTGTTATTACGAATAGTGTAGCTTTCTGGTCAGTACAAAATTTGCAGAAAAACCTGCTTTTTCACCCCTTAGCCGTGTATCTATGGCATCTTTTAGTCTTTTCAAAATGATCCTAATATCAGCATAGATGTTTATTGGTGAGTGACTGATCTTGTTCATATCTTGTATTTCAGCTATTTCTAGAATGTTGGGAAAACCATGTGTGGGTTCTGGGACTTCATTTTGAGTTGGGGGAATAGACCAGCTACCTTTTAACAAAAAAAAAAACAAAGACAAAAAGTGGTTAGTTGCCTCTCCTTTACAGGACGTTGCAAAACCAATCCTAGAATGTTTTGGCAAATTCTACCTTTCAGTAGTTTGTCATTGCTTACTAAACGGTCAGCTCTCAGTACCACTATCGAAACCAGTGCAAGATAAATCGCCCACAGCTGGGTTCAAACCTGACACCCCGGCATTACAAAGCCACAGATGTCATCACCTCCTAACAAGCTTGTCATAAAAGGCAACTAGTTAAGGGTTTACTGAAGTAAGATGTTTTGGACCGACAGGCACATATATCACAGCCATGCTGTAAATCAGAATACAGCCTGCCAACCACAGAAACCCTGTGTGTTTCATTCACGGACGTTCACTATTTGAGTAAATATGACTTCTCCTGCAAATAAAATATAAATGTTTTCAATGACCAAAAACATTAATATGACTGTCTTTATGGACATTTATGATGTTTATTAAACAGATTTGAAGTTATAAGTGGGATTTTAATGTTGTTTATTGATTGATTGTTTCCTTCTCAAAACAACAGTGATTATGACTATATTACAATCTATGCATCATCATCATCATCATCATCATATAGCAGGCCCTTTGCAGAACGTTCTCTCATCACATTCTGCCTGAAAGAAACTCTGTCTCTCGCAGCTTGTGCTCTGTCTCTTGCGCCTTGTGAACTTTCCTACTGAAAGTATCACTTATATCCTATGCCCATCTTCGTGCCACCTGTCCCTTGCGCCTTGTGAACTTTCCTATTCAAAGTATCAATTATATCCTATGCCCATCTTCGTGCCACCTGTCCCTTTTTCCTGGTACCATGCCTTTTACTATAATTTTTATTTTTTAATTCACCATGGCGCTTGATATGACCAAAAATGTCAGCTTCTGAGACAAGATGCTGTTTATTAGCTAATTTTACTTGATGTTCAGATCTTTTAAAATGTCAATATTTCTTCTCTTCTTTGTCCTTGGTATTCTGCGAATCTTTCTATAGCATTTCAGCTCAAAAGCCCCTATTTATAATTGAGATAAAATGGATAAATATAACCTCTGTTTGTGATAGATGGGCCTTTAGGCATATAGGGGTAGACCTATATTTTATAGACCAGTAGACACTTGGGGGCTGATGTGGTCATCATCATGCCAGCCACCTTTACTTCCAAGGACTTTACCTAGTGCCCACTCAAAACTGGGTAGACCTGGGAGTGAAGGCCACTTATGAAAACATAGTCTGGTTTCACCAGGACCTGAACCCATGACTTTCTGATCCACAGGCAAGTGTCTAGCCGCTACACCATGCCGGCTTCCTATGTCTGTGATAGAAAATACTAGAAAATGATATCTCTGGAATGACCAAGTAATGTACCGTGAGTTTTTTTGTACTGAAAGAGTGAAGTGGCATGGGAAGGAACAGTTTGCAGCCCAATACCTGGTGGGTGACACTGGCTGTTGCCAATCCATGTGAATGTCTTAGTAGAGGTTTCAACTTCACTGTAATTGGGTCATGCCATACTTGCCCCGTTCCTGTGCCAGTGAAAATAAAATGTCCCTCACTGTCCCATTTGAAAAACTTGCGAGTAAACAATTGATCCGGTAAAATCCAGAAATATGCACACGTATATGTCTCCGCACTGTTCACTCGCTCCCAAAGGGACCTCACAATATCTAACTTGTCATACATCAATTCACCACCAAGTGGTGCAGAGCCAGCCAGTCTATCTGGCTGCTCATTTCCCAACACACCGGCATAGCCTGGAGAAAACACTCGAAGGATGCTAACTACCCGGGACCTCTAAAGTGATGCTTGCCACTCTGTATTAACAAAACACTGTCGGAAGCAAAAATAACTTCAAAGCTTAACATTCTACCGTGCCTAGTCCTCTGTTTTTCACCAGAAACTATATATATGGTCTTTAATGTCATCAATTCAGTTACTACAGGAGTGCCCTCTTGCCATCATTGAAACACTGTTTGGGTGTAGTGTCTGTGTTTGTAGTTGTTGGTGCATTCTAACCAGATGAAATCCCATGCTATAATTGTGGAAGACTTTTCTAACCGCGGGCTGATCTTTGCTAGTCCCACTTGCCATCGCCATGGACTATAAGTCCCATGCCTCCTTATAGCGCAGCATAACACTATCGTCTGGACAGACGGAAAGGTGCCAATCAATCATATATATATATATATATATATATATACACACACACACACACATATATATACACACTCACTTGTGTGTGTGATAGAGGGAGAGAAAATGAAAGAAGTTGGGGGGGGGGGGGGGCGGGGGGGAGTGAATTACCGCTTCCTGGAGATAAGTGGGAAGATGTTAGTATTAACGGGCTCATGAAGAGTGCTGAGAACAGTGAATACAAGTATGCATCGTGCAGTGTTGCAATGCATGGCTTCAAAGATCGCGAATAGTCAGCATTCTAATTACATTGTTTCCAGGATATGTGGCGTATTTGGAAATGAAAAGACAGACAAACTGGCTGGTTCTGCACTACAGGTTAGTTGATGGATGGATGACAAAACATATGTGGCCAAACCCCTCTGGGAGCAGATGAACAGTGAGGAAGAACGAATAGATCACAAGGGTGTGAAAAATGTGACACAAGAGGGAGTGAACCACGGACCTTATCATCATCATCAGTTCTCTTTATGCCTAGTGGCACATGAGGCTTCAGAGAGGACTTCCCATGCTTTCCTGTCCTGTGCAATCTTCGGTGCAGTTTCCCATGTCAGAGATGCCGCACTCAGGTCACTTTCCATCGTTGATCTCCATGTCGTTTTTGGGCACCCTTTTTTTCCTTTCTCTTTCCCTCTGGTATCCACGTGAGAGCTGTTTTGGCAGGTATATCAGGATTCATTCTCATAGAGCAGCGGATCTAGCTGATACTTAACACTGATGAAAGATAAGACACATACAATCAAACTACAACTAGCAACTCTACGTTGAATGTTGAATACTGTTGGTCCTCCAATATATGTTTTTCACCTAACCTTTCACGAATATCAGTTGATACGTTTTAATGTATTTATCAAAAGATAAAAGCGTTTCCTCTCGGAACTAAATGTCTCTATTATAATTGAGAGGATAACCATAATTGTCTCGCGGGATCTTGGGGGAGGCACTGCTGATTCCCAGCAGACTTGGAGTGGCAAACAGCGAAGGTGGCACCTCAGCGGTTCTCATATTTCCCGATGTGATTGTGGTGTTTGTGTCCATTCTTGGCTGAGACTTGCTGTACACTGAACTCTGGGTCTCATCTACCTTGTTACCTTCAAGAGTCAGAAATTGTTGACCTGGAAGCTGCATCGTTGGTAAACCTGAACTGTAGCGGCTGACGTTCAACTCATTAACAACGATAGGGTCGCCAAGCCTAGAGACTGCATTTCCCAGAATCGATGTTGGAAAATACCTGTGCTCAAAATTAAAAGGATACATGTTAGATATCCGACCGAGGCTTCTCTTCTCGTTTTCAAGATCTGTTGTTTGCTGTCCGTTATTTTCGTTCTGGTTGGTTTCATAATCATAGTACGGTATGACAAAAGGGTATTTTTTCTGCTTTGTACTTTTTTCCTGCAGTCTCTTTCTTTGCTTCCTCGCTTGGTGGTATCGAACAGCTGATACAAAGAAAAAGATGCCAGATATGAAGAACAAGACGATCGCTGCCACGCCCAGCCAGAACGAGTATCCGTCATCTGTATTGCCGACGTCCCACGTGACTTCACGCGACAGCAGTATGCCAACCAGAGTCATGATAGCTGTAAACATAATTAACAGGTTTGTAGATTTCTAGTTGAAATATTAAAATATGAAATATATTCATCCTAGTATGAATACATATGTTGAGAAACAAACATGTCTTAGTAGAAACCAAACGAGCACTCTGTGACACACATTTCCTACAAACTATGTGCTGTCAGTGCTAGAACTTGGCATTACTACATACATGACAAATGCCACACAGCATGGCCTTTTACAAAAAAGGTCTTACAAATTGTGGTATGCTTGGCTCTGACCACGGCCTTCTCTATTTATATACAGCCGGACCTGGCTCTGACATTGCAGAACTAACCGTAAAAGTTTCTAGCAGTCTGATTAAGTACGAAGTTTTACGCCCAGTAGTTTGCTATTTAAGTACTAACTTATGGATATGAGAATTGGAAAGCATCGGTAGCTCTAGATTAAAAATATATATATAAAAAATTAGACAATTTTGGGAACAAATGTCTTAGAAGAACATTAAATTTCCGTTGGACAGATTTCAAATCCAGTACGCTGATAAGACAAGAGACCAAGCAAGATAATATATCTACTTATATAAGAAAGGCCAGTGGAACTACATCAGCCATGCACACAGATTAGTTAAGACAAGGACACCCCGTACCCCCCTCCCTCCAACCCCCATCAAGCCCTCATGCGGACACAGGAAAAGGGAAACGGGAAAGATCAAGAGATACCCTGCTTAGAACCATCATCTGAGAAGGCTTCAGCCATGGTCCTAATAAACATTCAAGACCTACAACAAGTGGCAACGAACCACCAGACACGGAGAGCTATGAGCTCTGCCCCTATGCGCTGCCCTAGGCTCAAGAGAAAAGACTAACTAACTAAGTTTGCCATTGCTTCTGAACGTTCGGTGCTCCATGCCTTGTCGAAATGAACGCAAAGCTATCTGTTGCCAAATCGTCTACAGCTGGAATCTAATCGAGTATTTTCGGAATTAAAAAGCGCGTAATTACGATGCCGACTATCCAAACAGTAAGATTTTTTTGGAACAACCCACGGAGTCAGGCCCAGAAAGAGAGTGACTTTCCTTACCATTCATCCCTGGTCGTGTCGTAGGGCCCGTCCTATGTTGAGGGGTTGTCCCGCTTAGTTGTTGTCATAAGCTGCTTGCGTCGTGGGACGTAGGTTGTACTCTCTTGTGGGACGTAGGCTAAGACTGTAGCATTGGGGGTTGGGGGGGGGGGGTGGGTTAGGGCCAATTCTACATGTTTTGGGACCGTTAAAAGCGCTCACATCGGGAAATATAGACCACACGATATCGTCGGCTAATGACAACACCATGTAAAATTTGTTGTGTTGCTGGAATCTCACTAAGCGTGACACTCCTGCAACACAGGACAGACCAGGAATGAATGGCAAGGAAAGTCACTCTCTTTCTAAGCTCGAGTAAGTGAGTTGTACTGATTTTTTTTTTTTTTTTAAATTGTATATACAGCATTGTGTAATAGCATTCAGTATGCTATCCCCCCTCCCCTGTTTTTTCTTCCCCTTTTTTATTTATGTACAAGCGGGATATAATAAATATAAAATATAAACAGTGAAAATATAATGAGAAATGTCCAAAATGACCAGACTTGTGACAGTTATGATCCGCTCAAAATTGGTGGCAGCCCTATTCCGGAACTCCGCTACGCAGACGACACAGTCCTCCTTTCGAACAGCGTAAATGGAATAGAAAATTTAATATTGTCCGTCCAAAAGCACAGTGAAGATCAAAATCTGTTCTTGAATTTAAAGAAAACGAAAATAATGTCCACATATAAAACTGGCTGTCACCCAAAAATAACAATAAAAGATGAAGAAATTGAAAATGTCACAGACTTTGAATATCTAGGCTCTATAATAAACAACAATGGAGACTGTTCGACAGAAATTGAAAGGAGGATGGCCATAGCAATGCAAAGATTGAACAGCCTTAAAATTCTATGGTTAAGCACCAGCAAGGAGATAAAAATTAGAATTTTGAGAGCATGCATCTTCCATGTGGCTACATACGGATGTGAGTCGTGGACTATCTCTCAGTCCTTAAGAAAGAGAATAGGGGCTTTTGAGCTGAAATGCTGTAGAAAAAGTCACAGAATATCTTGGACAAAGAAGATGAGAAATATTGACATCTTAAAAGATCTGAACATCAAGGAAGATTGGCTAATAAACAGCATCCTTTCTCGAAAGCTGAAATATTTTGGTCATATCAAGCGCCACGACGGATTGGAAAAAATTATAGCAGAAGGCATGGTACCAGGAAGGAGGGGCAGAGGCCGACCGACACGAAGATGGGCACAGGATATAAGTGACTCCTTGAGTGTGAAAGTTCATGAGGCGGGAGAACTGGCAAGAGACCGAGTTTCTTACAGGCAGACTGTGATGAGAGCGACGTTCTGCAAAGGACCTGCTACACGATGATGACGGACAAGCGGGATCCATCTTACCTGATAAGAAGGTCACCACGGTGACAAGTCGTACAATCCAACGATTGGTCCGTTGACTGATCCAGATGGAGGCTATGTTTACCAGGACAACCAGCAAGGCCAGGCCAGAGATGATGACGCTGATTACCATCACCGCTCGGACGCCATCTAGTTCGTCTAAAGGTCAATGTTCCAACAACAACAGTAGTGTCAAATATACCAACAATTACAATGAAGTCAGATGTACAACAACTACAGTGATGTCAAACATACCAACAACAACACTAATATAAAATATACTAACAACATTGATGTCAGATATGCAGCAACTTAAATGATGTCAGATATGTAACAACAGCAATAATGTTATTAGACAGGCCAACAACCACAATGATGTCAAATATGTCAACAACTATAATGATGTCAAAAATACTGACAACAACAATAATGTCAAACATATCAACTACAATGATGTCAAATATACTAACAGCTATACCGATGTTAAATATGTCAACAACTATAATGATGTCAAAAATACTAACAATAACAATAATGTCAAACATATCAACTACAATGATGTTAAATATACTAGCAGCTATACTGATGTCAGAGACGCAATAACCACGACGATCTAAGGGTTGCAACAACTACAGTGATGTCAAATATACCAATGCTGTGCTACCAGTGCCAAACTTAGACATTTTCTAAGGCGTACAATTGACAGATGTGAAATGAGATGCCTCAGGAATGTGGCCAACAGCCATCCCAGAAAAAGTGAGAAATCAAACTGTAAACCGTGGGAACAACACAGTGCATCAAGTTCACGGAAAAACAGACGATATGCTTGGTTTGGTCTCTCATTATAATGCAGCAACAAGAGCTAACAACACAGACGCTATCCATTAAAGGACTCATGTGAAAGCAAGAGGTCTACCCGGGAGAAGATGAGGTACATTGTACTTTGAGACACTGGAAGATTGTAGGTAACGAAGTGAAACATCATTACTATTTGTTAGTGCTGTTGCAGTTGCTGCTTTTCTCTCCGAGTCAATGCTGCTACACCAGCAACTGCTATTACAGCCTTTTACACCACCGTTACTACTACCACCACCACTACTACCAACACCACTACTACTACCACCACCACCACCACAACCACCACCACCACTACTACTGCCGCTACTGCTACTGCTACTGCTGCCGCGACTACTACTGCTGTCGCTGGTGCTGCTGCTACTGCTGTTACTGCTACTACTACTACTACCACCACCACCACTATAGTCCGTTTCAAAAATCATGTTTTTCTTTTAAAAGTGGGTAACCCAGTAACCGTTTGGTGTAAATTGTTGACACCGATTTAAAGCATACAATCAGTGTTTACAGCAAAACATCATACTGGACGTATTTTGGAGGTAATCATGCAAGACGCACTGATTTATATGCCATGAATTGTCATAATCTAATTTACATAATAGTAACTCAGTTCTAAGGCGTTTTACTCTCAGGTAGTCAATCTCCTGCATTAACCTTCCGTGACTGACACGAAAACACTATTTCATATGTGCAGGATAGGCTATCAAAATAATCGCTAAGCAATGCTGCACATGGGAGATAATCTCAGAAATAATCACCATGTTTGAGGTTTCAAGTAAACAATTGGTGTCACTTACTGTATAATAATTCTATTTTTAAGGGTATATACATTTTTAGTCCGACAAAGATTAAATATATTAGCCGCTTTAAGAATATAGTAGCACAGCTGGAAATGATAAAATTAAAAGGACATGGAAAATCTAAAACACAAGCAGATATTCCTGTTGATCCGTCGTCCAGGAGTTTTCGAGCTGTTTGTTAAAGTTTGAGGATACGACATTCGTAAACGTTTAACTACTACCATCACCACCACCCCTTTACCACCACCATAACAACCAACACCATCACCATCACCATCATCATCACCACCACACCACCATCACCACCACCCCTTTACCACCACCATAACAACCAACACCATCACCACCACCGTCAGCACCACCATCACCATCATCATCACCACTACACCACCATCACCACCACCCCTTTACCACCACCATAACAACCAACACCATCACCACCACCGTCACCATCACCATCATCATCACCACCACGGCTACCACAACCAAACGTAATGATGCCTCAGTTATTGCTTGGTTTAGGACTACCCTCACCTGTTCTGGTCACCGGAACACATGACCCAGTGCTAAAACACTTTGCCCACAGTCCATATGTGGAACCAACAGGTACAACCACCCACTCTGCGCTGGCCACGGATACAACGTCCACAACAAAGGCAGCTAGAAGAAGGAAACCACCAAAACATAGCAGAATATCCATTCTTATGTGGTCACCGCTGAAAAACAACAACAAATAAACAAGAGTTGAATGGATAATTATTTGTTCTAATACACTTACATACTTACTTACTTTGTCGCCCCTCTTCTGCGCTGAGGTGTAGAGGTTTGCCAGAGAGCGGTTTCCTTTTTAGTTTTGTTCTGTTCGAGTCCCTGTCAGTCAGGGACTGTCAGATGTTGTCTTTGCTAACCCTGGAGTCTACCTGGATGTCTGGTTCCCTGGTTCTTGGCCTCTCGTGCCAGCCGTGGTGGACAGTTCTCTCCCACTCTGTATACACATCCAAACCATCGTTACTGGGACTGATCAACTGGGATTCAAGGTCGTGACGTATTGTTTGATCGCGGACTTTGTCTCTTCTTGTCACTAGGACACCTTTTCTCAGAATCCTCATTTCCGAGGCCTGAAGCTGGCTTTCTTGAGCTGTTGTCGTTGATCATGACTGACACCCATATTGTACTAACACAAAGGGTAACGTTTTTTCAATATCATGCGAAAATTATCAGCGTCTAGCATGAACTAACGAACACAAGAACGAACGAAGCTTTATTCCAAAGGCTCTCAAATCTGAGCACGAAGCTCCGTCTTAAATTCGGCCTTCCCAAACACGCGTCTTTCACACGACAATATATTTTATATATCAAGCATATTCTGCTCATATTTAATAAACCTCACAGTGTGAATTTAAAATAAAAATATAAAAGCATGGATAACTAATGCATATCTTTAAAATATATACTTTAAAAAACACATACAGCGAAGAATATCCATTTTTACATAGACTCCGCCTGAAAAACAAATAAACATGACTTGGATGGATTAGTATTTGTAACAATGCAAGTGGGCCAACATATTTTACGTTAGCTCATATTTTGCCCCTCTATAGAGAGGTAAACAGCACATGAAAAATTAGAATTGCTAAATGTTATATATATATATATACTCTTCTCCACTAATAACTGAAACAATGGAAGAGCAATCAAAACGTTGAACTGGGACACGCAAGATATGACTATACAGAACGATGGGTCGTATATCATTTAAATGAAAAACAATAATAGGCATAGATACAAAGCCGACGCACAAACATTTTCCCTTTGACCGTTAACTGCCGTCCCTAGTCACCCTTTAATTCACTCCATCCTTTTGTCCATCCGTTCAGCTCAACTATAATTAATTATCCCGTTCTCTGATAATATTTCACCCTAATCAATGGGACCACTACTTATTTAACCATAACTAATTTCAACTAATTACCTCTTTTCGCTTCCTCTCTCTCTCTCTCTCTCTCTCTCTCTCTCTCTCTCTCTCTCTCTCTCTCTCTCTCTCTCTCTCTCTAATTTTATGCGCCTCCTGGATGCAATCTCAACAAGATCTAGAATCTACACCGAGGGGAAAAAAGGGGGGCGGGGAGTGTGCTGAAATTAGGTTTGTGCTTTTAGTCTGGTCCCTGGTTAGGAAATATTCTTTGCACCAACACATGTCATTCATGTTTTTCTTTGATATTATGTACGCGGCAAACACAAAATATCACCGCCCATCCGAATCTGTTTACCACACCCGAGGGGCGGCGCCTCAGAAGCAAGGAACCATTATGGTAGATAATTTGGCTTATTACCAAACTTTCTAGAAATCACACCCCCCGCTCCCCCTTTGTGTGTGTGTGTGTGGACGTAACAGATTGAAGCTGAACATTTCAAAAGCAAAAGGTCACACAGATTTTTGAACTTCTCATTCCCTTCATTTTACGGTTCGCGACTTGTGAAGCCGACGATTAACCGGTTTGTTTAGTAAATGGGGATAGCTTAAGGGTTTCTATAAGTGGTGTCTTGTTCTAACTGAATGTCAGTGAAGCATTCATTTGTTCGACCTCGAGTAAAAAAAAAAAAATACATACTTTGAACATATAGCGGGACAGACTGTATGGCAAGCAGACATATATAGGACAGTCATAGATATACTTAAGGTATTAGGTGGGTGGATGAATCTTTGAACAGTTTCGATTCTAAACGGTTTGCAGGATCGATAGACACAGTTATAACTGCCAAAGAAATTGTGTTTCAGACCGTGAAACAATAAGTTTTAATTAAACTAATGTGCTTTAGAAAAATGCAACAATGAGAAGGAGACATACAAAGTGCTTTGGTCATGTGATGGAGAAAAAAGCACTAGAAAATTTAGAGACGACTGGAAAAGATCACCGGTAGAAAAGGCAGTGGCAGACCAAGAGAAATGATGGCGGATGGCTTTAGACAGTGGCATGGAGAAATATCATCAGTGGAACTGATCCAGAACACCAAAGACCGAGATCTGTGGAGAAGCGTGAACCATACGGCAGTTGGCAATACACTTGTTGATGATGCATATTTGTAAAATAGCAAGAGATTAACAAAAGGGAAAACAAAATTTCAAATGCATTCTCGTGATATAATTAGAAATATACTAAGAAGTAAATATAGATTTATTTTTACCATTTAAAGACTTCATAAATGCACGATACTGCCTTAGTCAGTCAGTTAGTTAATTAGTCGAGGTTTCAACATCACCGCATTCGGGTTTCCCCATACTTGCTCCGTTCATGTGCCAGGGTTGAGTTCAGCTGAGTTGAGTCAAGAACTGACATGGCAGCACTTGGGGCACTCCCATGCGTGCTCCGTCCTCATCCTCAGCAGCCAGCGCAAAGTTCCAATGCTGATAGTACCGGTCACATTCAGGTTATGTGTCCGTCTCGCCATTCCTCTGAGTGTAGAGAGCCGGCCAAACCCTCTGGTTACACCCAGGTGCCTCATTCTCTCCAGGCCATAATAATCTTGTTTCTCTACTGATTTCGTCGCTTGTTCCTAAAGGGCCTTGACCACATCCACCCTGTCATACATCAATTCACCACCCAGTGGTGCAGATTTAGCCAATATGTCTGCCTGTTCATTACCCACTACGCAACCATAGCCTGGACAAAATATCCAAAGTGTGTTTACTAACCTGACCTTCCCAGTGAAGCGTGCCACCCTGCTCGAAGTATCCCTGTCTTCATCTTTCTCAGCATGCCTTCAAAATCTGTTACAATTACGACTGTGCCAGTGCGAATCAAATGAAATGTCCCTCACTATTGCATATGAAAAACTGATGAATAAACAAGTTCCGGAACAATCCAGAAATATGTGCACGCAGTATATGCGTATTTCAGTTGCTCGAGGTGGCAAAGCTAACGATTGCCACCAGAAATGCTGTTTGTTTTTGATGGAAGTAGTCGGGCACAATAATTTGGTTACTTACTATACACACACGTGTAAAATTCTGTCATAAAGTATTTCACCAGCTCACACTTAAACTGACCACTGGCCATACTGAACAAAAGGACACAACAGCTGCGCAAATGAAAGGCATTTATAGAAAAAAACATACAGCTCACAGGGCAGCGAAACCGCAGACTACCGTCCTTATGCGGAAACTGCATTAGCAAAGCGCTGTCGTAAGCAAAAATAACTTCGAAGATTAAGGGAACAGGACTTTAAAAAAAAAAAAACCTTGCCTCCCAGTGCGACCTAGCCTTGAGTGGGTACCAGGTGCAGTTATGGGAAGTAAAGGCGGCCCGCCTGATGCTGACCACATCACCATGTGCAGATTCGTCTTCACAAATAAAGGTCTAGCCCTATATTCCCAATATGCATAAAGGCGGGGAAAAGGGACCTTGATTTTTGTTCAATTATTTGCTGAATGGCAAAAATATATGTATGTAATAATATAGTTCGCGTCTGTGGCCTTGCGAAAGGTCTTCGTAATACCAGGGTGCCAGGTTCAATCCCAGCTGCGGGTCTTGTGTTGGTTTCGACAATGGTATCGAGAAGCCGACCGTCTAGAAAGCAATGACAAACTTATTGACGTAAATTTACCTAAAAAAAAAAAAAAAAACTACAACAGCCCCCAAAAAAAAAAAAAAAAAAAAAAAAAAAAATTCTGCGGTTGGTTCTGCAACGTCCTGTAAAGGATACGCCACTAACATCGATGGTCATTGGCACCACCTTGTAGTAGTCAGTCACGGACCCTTGTCCACACCTTCAAGCGTACTGGGCATCTAGGGCTAAACCTATATTTTATAAACCAATCAGCACTTGGTTGGTGATGTGGTCAGTATCGCACTGGCGGCCTTTACTTCCCAGGACTGCACATCGTACCCACTCAAAGCGGGGCCGACCCGAGAGCCAAGGTTATTTTTGAAAGAAAAAAAGTCCACCTCTGCCAGGATCCGAACCCACGATCTTCCGATCCGCAGGTGAGCGTCTAGCCGCTACACCGCAGTAGCTTTTAGTGGCACCCCTTAGCCCCTTGCAAATTTTCTATGGGTTCGGAATCAGCTCCCCGATATATTTTTGTTCGTGATCAAGAAGGTATCTGCGCCCGAGGTTCTGGCGCCTAGCCGTTACAGCTTGGGATCGATGGGGGAAAAAAGTGTTGCTTGAAAAGAATACCACTAATTCTGTTTCACATGCTTGCTGCGCAGTTATGTATGGGTCTGAATGGCGTTATTCTTTGCTTGGGTAAACGTGAACTTCAAGTGGTATTCTCACACATACTGTTACGTTCTTTCAGTTTAAATTGGGTGGACCATAAACATTTTCACTTGGGCTTTCGTGAACATGAATACAGAATTCCAAATTCAGATAACGATTCTTACCACAGTGAAAAAAAAAAATAAATAAATTGAATAAAGGTGAAGGACACTCTTCCCGCCAACGTCTCCTACATTCCCAGAATCATTCTATACTGAATCGACGTGAAAGCTAAGATCTCATTTTCTTCTGCTTTTCTATACCCCAATGGAGCACAGGCCCTAAACCAACTCACGCCAAGTCGTTTTATCCTTCGCCATTACATAGAGCTCTCCCCGTTTACTTCCCATCTTTCTAACTTTATTCTCCAGCTCTCTTCCTCACGTATTTTTTTTTTGGCCTTTGTTTATTCATATGCCCCTGTGGGTTCCTATGCAA